CTTGTTCCTGTTGGGTCGCTTTCTAGAACCATTTTCACTGGGTCGTCGTGTGGCATTCTTACGACATGCCCAGCCCACCGTAGTCGCCCAAATTTTTGCAATGTGGACGATGGATGGTTCTCCCAGCAGCTGGTGAAATTCGTGGTTCATTCGCCTCCTCCACGTTCCGTCATCCATCTGCACTCCACCGTAGATGGTACGCAACACCTTCCGTTCGAAAACACTAAGGGCGCCTTGGTCCTCCCCGAGCATAGTCCAGGTCTCGTGGCCGTAAAGGACCACCGGTCTAATCAGCGTCTTGAAGACAGTCAACTTCGTGCGGCGGCGAATTTTATTCGACCGGAGCGTCCTCCGGAGTCCAAATTAGGCACGATTCCCTGCTAAAATGCGTCTTTGAATTTCTCTGCTGGTATCATTTTCAGCGGTCACCAGTGAGCCCACATACACGAACTCATCGACCACCTCGATTTCGTCACCGTCAATCTGAAGTCGGGGTGGGAGGCTAAAATTGTCTTCCCTAGAGCCTCTTCCTTTCATGTATTTTGTCTTTGATGCACTGATGGCAAGTCCAATCCGTCTAGCTTCAGCCTTCAGTCTGATGTACGTTTCCGCCATCATCTCAAAGTTCCTTGCCATAATGGCAATGTCATCGGCGAAGCCAAGGAGCTGGATGGACTTCCTGAATATCATGCCACTCGTGTCTAAACCCAGCTCTTCTGATCACACCTTCTAACGCGATGTTGAACAGCAGACACGAAAGTCCATCACCCTGCCGTAACCCCCTTCGAGATTCAAAGGGACTCGAGAGTGTCACCGATACTCGAACAACGCACATCACTCGATCCATCGTCGCCTTGACCAATCGCGTCAGTTTATCCGGAAGTCCGTACTCGTGCATAATCTGCCATAGCTGATCTCGATCGATTGTGTCGTATGCGGATTTGAAATCGATGAACAAATGATGTGTGGGCACGTTGTATTAGCGGCATTTCTGCAGAACCTGTTGAATCGCGAAAATTTGGTCCGTGGTAGCGCGGGCACCCATGAATCCCGCCTGGTATTGCCACACGAACTCTCTTGCATATGGTGACAGACGGCGGCATAGAATTTGGGAGAGTACCTTGTAGGCGGCGCTCAGCAGTGTGATCGTGCGGTAGTTGCAGCAATCCAACTTGTCGCCCTTTTTGTAGATTGGGCATACGACACCTTCCATCCACTCCTCCGGTAATATCTCCTTCTCCCAAATCAAAGGAAAATCCGGTAATATCTCCTCCTCCCAAATTACCCAGTGCAGCGCTCTAGCCAGTGCTTCACCACCGTATTTTAATAGCTCACTTGGTAGTTGATCTACACCAGTTGCTTTGTTGTTCTTCAGCCGACCGATCTCCTCCTCAACTTCTTGAAGATCGGGGGTCGGTAGCCTGTCGTCTTCTGCGCGTGCTCCAAGGTATGTTGCCGTGCCACCTTCGTTTTCTGGCTTATAACATCTGCCGATGAAAACAACATCTTACTCGAGGAGAAGTTTGGTTTTCGAAAAGGTCGATCGGCAGTCCACCAACTGAGTAACAAACATTCTCAGACGGAACAAGTCTGTTTCTAAAACATCTGCTATGGCATTGTTAGACGTTGAAAAGCGTTCGACAGCGGCCTGCTGTACAATTTGCATCGATACGGTCATCCGATCTTCCTCGTGAAGATTATACAAAATTATCTATCGGACAGGACGTTTTCTCTAAATGGCATCACATCGGATGCCTTCAACATCGGTGCAGGTGTGCCTCAAGGAACTATCCTTGAGCCCACCCTGTTCAATCTATTCACCTCCGATATTCCGGCTCTCGCTGATGGTGGATCGTTGTCTCTGTTCGCAGACGACAAATCCAACGTCTACAAGGGTAGGGTCATCGGAGCTCTGACCGCCAAACTCCAGAGAGGCTTGGATGTTCTGTCTGAGAATTTCAACAGCTGGAAGCTTTTCAAAATGGCGACGAAAGAACAGTGCGTGCGCGAAAAAGTTTTGCACAGGTACTTTGAGAATGCCATCGGAAAAAGTTGAGAATCGTGAATTTCACGGTGTCTGGTATAATAAAACGGTTCGAAAAACATCTGACTGTTGATCGAAAGCGAACATCTGTAAAAAAAGACGTCAGGTCAACGAGAACGATCACAAACTCGTGGTTGGGGCCTTTAAAAGGAAACCGAACGCCTCAGTTCGAGATGTGTTTAAAAAGCTGCATGTGAGCAAGACTTTCGTGCAGAATACCAAAACTTGAGCTGGACTACGTACGTTTACGGTTCAGAAGTCCTCAAACCGTGACGAGAAACAGAATACAGTCGCAAAAAGCCATGCCCGGACGTTGTACGACCAGACGTTAACGAAACCACACTGCTGCGTAATGGATGACAAGACATATGTGAAGGCGGACTTCAACCAGATTTCAGGAAACCCTTAGGTGACTGCCAAGGATAAGTGTGATGTTCCCAAGAAACTCCGGACACAGAAAATGTCAAAATTCTCCAAGAAGTTTTTAATTTGGCAAGCAATTTGTACTTGCGGAAAGCGGAATACACCTTTCGTGACCACAAGCACCATGAATAGACAGGTGTATTTGGAAGAGTGTTTCCAAAAGCGGCTTCTCCCTCTCCTGAAGGCTCACGACGGTCCGACGATCTTCTGGCCGGATTTGGCATCATGCCTCTACACGAAGGACGTGCTAGAGTGGTATAAGGCGGATCATGTCGATTTCGTGCCGAAAGATCTGAATTCCCCAAAACTGCGGAACTGCACCCAATAGAAAAATACTGGACCACCTTCTAAAATGACATAAAGTAGTGAAAAATGTAGAAGAAATGAAGAAAGCATGGGTTAATATGCAAAAAACTGTCAATTTAGAGGTCGTGTAGAACCTTATGGCTTGGGTTAAGGCCAAATTTCACGCATTTGGATTTAAAGGTGAAATAAATTAAATTAATGATGCCAAACTAACTTTAATTGTTTCTTCAACTCCCTGAAAATTTGGTGATAATCGGATAAAAACTTGAATTTTGAGAATGAATTTTGTGTGTGCGGATTTTAAACGGTGCTCCCTTTATACTCGTGGTTAGATAGGTTATAACATTTTCAATTAAAACGAAACATATCCCCCGAAGGGGTATTCTTTAAACTACATGAAGAACGTAAATATTAAATTAGAATATCCATATAAACAAAGATGAACAGCCACGTAGGCTAATCAATTAAATTGCAAAATCAATTAAAATGCTAAATCTATGTTCAATCATAATCAACTTAAATTAACGTAATTTAACACACCTTTTTTTTATTACATTTAACGGATTCAGAAAACCTTATCAAGATAATTCTGGAACTCTATTTCCCACACGGGAGAACTTGTTCCTGCAACTCGACTTCCATATTTAACACTTTAGCAGAAGTTTATGCAGTTTGGCGGCAGCATTGTGATTGCTTGGAGGTTTTTGAATTATGCACAGATTCAATGAAAGAAGATAACTGGTCTGCATAAGCTTTGAAGAACTATTTTCGGAGGTTCGATGTATAAAAGGAAGTATCATCCAAAAATAGATCAGAACATGACAGTGATAAAAGTTCCTTACTCTTACTTCTTTTTGCTACAGATCGAGCCACTCCACCGCGGAGGTAAATATATTCGTCTGAACTTAAACATTGAACAAGAATCAGATCTCACCATAGCAATTGGTTTGTGACTTTTAGAGAATCCATTCCACACGCCATCGCATCCAGAAGTTAATCTCCAACGCATCGTGGTAGCCAGCCAGATTTGCAAACAAACACAACTCACTGAAAGTGAAAACACTTGAAAGAAACAACTCCTACTTGGACCATCATATTTGTCCCGCAACAATACCTCGGTGGGCGTATAAATAGATTTACCATTTAGACTCATTCCTCTTCACCCACCGAAGCAATATAGACTTCAATTTCCACTTCCTGAGCAGCACAGAGCACAATTCTCAGGGACATAAACTAGACACCACCAGCACAGGACGCAAACGTTGGCGGTTGGTTGCAGTTTGCTGCATCCTTTCAGACATACATTGTACTAGCCGAAGCATATGGCGTTTACCCGTACAAACGTTTCCCTCGTAACCAATAGTGTGGGTTCTATTGCTGCACATGACGACAGTCAAGCCTTGGCTTAGAACATTGAATTCCGATCTGACACCAATAGACACGTCCATTCTTTGCCTTTTTCTTTCCCAGACCCCCACACATACACACACATATACTCTCGCTCACGAACATTTATCTTGCATAATTGAACATTCCCTGTTCAAATTAATGTACACATAAATATCAGTTGCTAGTTGATTTATCGCGGGAAATTTCTCTTTTGTCGGTTTCTCCTCGACAATGGCGACGGGCGCTACTTTCTCCCACCGTTGGACGTCGTTGCATCAAGTGCACGAATTTAGGCGAGGCCATTTGCTAGCCTAGACCAGAGCAGCTAGGAAGGATGAAAAAGTTGGTCGAACTCTATCATCGAACACGGTAAACTGGGAACTTCGACAGAATGGCGGGATGCCAAGGGTAATTTCATATCTCTTCCGGCGAAAGGAAACCATAGTTTGGGGAACAATTAATAGAAAGTTAGGGATCTTCAATGAAGCGTTAGAGTAGCGTGAAAGTTTATGACTTTCCCTCTCTCTAACTTGTAGTCGGAATTGATTTTATTTGGTTGGATCTTATGGTCGAGAGGATGCACTTTGAAGTGGTGATTATGTGTTTATTGCATTCAATTTTAATTCTACAAACTATATTTGCGGCAGCATAACCAATCCTCATCTGATTGTTATTGAGATGTAGCTTCCTCTACATATCGTTGCTAAGCAATTGAATCGAAGAATCCTTTGCTATAAATAAGATTTCCCATCAGAGCATCATCGATAAATTTGTTTTGCATTCTAGCGTAACTATTCGGTAACTTTGCTTTGCTTCATCATTCTTCCCTCCCATCCAGGTTCGACTGCGGATCCGGAACGGGGCGGGTCCGTTCGGAGGAAACGATTGTCCTGAATCAGTGGAATACCATCACCATCTATCGTCATCGTTGGGATGCCTGGCTGGTGCTGAATCAAGGAAACCGGGTGCAGGGACGCTCAAAGGTAAGTTTTCCTAAGGAAATCTGCATTCACATCAATATTCCTCTGACGTCTCACATTCCTCTCGAAATACACATCATCAGTGGAATTCACCTCCCAATGGCTCACTCCTTCCTGAGCCGGCATCCGAGCCGAATGCCTTCATCTTGGCTCAGCAAAGAGAATATAGCATTTTTCTCCTTATTCACCTTCTTTAGTTTTGATCCGATTTTGCAGATCCGGGCTCAGTTTCAATCAGATTTAATTTCTCTACTCTTCAAATCACAACAAACAATCCGCTTTGCATCAGTGCATGCTCAACAAAACGAAACGAATCGGAATCGATGCTTGCTAGAGCTTTTGTGCTGCACCACCGGTATGAATCCTGTGGAAGGAAAATCATTAGATAACATTATTGTGGAAGTCAGATTATATCATTGCAAAGAAACATGAGCTGCAAGCATATATCGCTCAATCGAAACAGCATCACCGGTCTCAGACCCAAATCAAGTTTTTTGAGATGTGTGGAGAGTTTCCTTGGAGGTTAATTTACCGTTTAAAGATTCCTTTATGTACATTCAAGGGTAGTTCATTTATTTCTTTCTAAGTAGAAATTAACTAAATAAAATCGTTGTAAATCCGATCATAAAAATCAGCATTGAATTTAAATGTAACACATTAATTTTTAACTAATTAAATCTTTGATCTGAACAAACATCAACTATTCAGATCATATTCGGTAAATGTAGATCAATTTTTATTATAAATTATTTCTAAGATTTCAGCCGTAAAGAAGATGCTTCCTTGAATAACTAGTATACTAGATTTCCACTCTCCCCATCAATTTAACTTCAACTGGTGGTCCCTCCCGTATCCAGCATTTAATCTTTCATACTTACCTTACCAATCAGGCTAAGGCCTTGTTGGCCTCTGCTGTCCGAAGAAGTCTTCTACACTCTACTCGATCCATGACCACACTTCGCCAGCCTCGTAGTCTGCAAGTCGCCTTCTACTTGGTCGACTTTTCACTGAAAAGGAGCATCGACAGAAGCTCAAGAAACTTGATACACGCTCAGAGTTAGGAATCAAGTCCAGGTCAAAAGCTGCTTAAGTTGTCCACTCTTTTGGATGGTACTTAGGTCGTCGTTCAGCTGCATCCCAACTTGAATGTGAGCCGTTGCGTTATTTCGTGCTTTGAGGCGATCCGCATGGAGGAGAAGGACGTCCTACTTGGTCTCATTAGCCAGGGGGTCATCCGAGTCTAGCGAATCACTCACAAAGAGCACGGTAAGCCAGTCAACACGTCAGCCCTTATCCTTACGTTTAACAGGAGCAACCTTCGCATGTTAAAATTTGTGTCGCTACCCATCCGTACTACCCTAATCCTCTCTTGTGCTATGGTAGTGTCCGATACGGTCATCCCCGTGTCCGATGTCCTGGTCCGAAACGCTGCCTTAACTGTTCTGCCGATCATGAACTGGTGGATGATGATTAGTGTGCAGCAGCTACCCACTGCATCAATTGTGGTGGACCTCATCGTCCGAACAACCGTCAATGCCCGGTTTATAAGAAGGAAGTGGAAGTGATCCGTCTAAAACTGGATCATAATCTGACGTACCCTGAAGCACTCAAGTCTAATCTAATCTAATCTAACACCAACATCATGAAAGCATCCTGGAAAATGATAGATATACCTCCATCACTTTTTTTTCTATTTGGTACACGGCGAATGAGAACGACCCAAATTTGAGTTAAGTTCACTCATAATCGCCAAAAGTGCAGGAACTCCGCGATGAGTAAAATTTGTCTCATGGTTTCCTCTGGAAAACCAAAAAAATCTGCCGGAAAATGAGGAAATTGACGAAAATTTTATTCAGTCTCGAAGTAGTACCAATATACGGAGTGAATCAAATCTTTACTTTTCTCAAATTTGGAAATTTTTCCCTGGAAAATGCTGGAAAAACCTAGGAAAACATGAGGCAAATTTACTCATCGCTGAGTTCCTGCACTTTTGGCGATTATGAGTGAACTAAACTAAAATTTGGGTCGTTCTCATTTGCCGTGTATATGTTGTACATCATAGATGCGCAAAATATATCTAAACGGCCAGGCCTACTGTACAGCATTTGAGGTCGTCTGGAGCATCTAGTCTAAAAAGGTTAAGTGATGCTCCATTTTCTTCTAGCGGTTGGGTCCTGAGCACTAACTCTTGTCCTAGCCCTATATGGCATATGGTTATAGCGCCATTACTCGCTTTCTGAAAAGAGAAGAAGGGAAGGGAAGGAGAGGAAAAGGACTTGGGAAAACAACTTGGGAAAAGGAAATGCGGAATTCCTTATTAGTATTGGTATCGTCAACTTTTATAAAAAACATATAAATCATTGTGTCTTATCATTTGTATTTCAAAAATTAATGTTATAATGATCAACATAGCTTAGGATTATCCAATATAAATCGGCAACACTGTCCTGCAACTAATGATCTTTCTAATCCGTAAACTAAAAGTTACGAAAAAGCACTTAGGCCTTCATTAAGTTCCACTTTCACGCGACGTTCAATGTTTCGGTTTGTTCTTTACGCATTGTTCATGCTATCATAACAAGTTATGACCGACGTGACGATTGTTTAAGCCCTGGTTAAACAAGTTATTTAAATGAAATCACGTTCCCGAAAGCAGTCATCAATGTATCCTAAACTGGATCAAGCGACTGCCGACCGTAAAAAAAAATGGGAGACACTGGAGAAGAAACTAGAGGAGAAAGACGCCCAAATTGCTCAACTTTTTGAAGTGACGAAGAAGAAGGACGAAAAGATCGACAAATTAATGGGACACATCAAACTGATTCGAACACCGCAAGTTCAACAAACCCTGCTAGCTCAGTCAAGTAAATCGATCCATCCTTCCGAAAGTCAATCGAGCCAAGCAATCGAATAGACCCTGCATTCTCAACTCATGAGAAAATCCGGAGAATCGTAGATAGTCGCACCGTCGATGCACCTCAGAAGTAGATCGCCAGCGACAACGAAATCCAGACACAACAAGAAGAAGAAAAGGCACGATAGAAGCAACAATACCTCACCCGGTCGACAAAGCCCATCGCTGAAGAAGCCCGTTGAAAAAACACTGACATCCGACCAGGAAGGAGAGAGCGCAGCAGGCTGGAGGATCCATCTGGGACGTCTTACCCTAACACGTTGATGGAGAATCCCCCTCTCCGGGGGGACGAGAGTGAGACCATGAGTGTCTTGCACCCTCTGTTTCCTCCTGGAATCCGGCCGATGTGTCAGGTCCAACGCGCAGACCGTCAGTATCATCTTCGTCATCAGCAAGTCAGCAGTTATTCATCCCACGAAATGTGTTGGCCTCCGGTGGAACATACGTGGTCTACGTGCCAACATCAGCGAGCTCAAACTGCTCATCAGTCAGCACGAACCGTCCGTTATAGCGCTGCAGGAGACGAAAGTGGATAATCGTATGGTCGCGCCAGACTTTGCCGGCAAGAACTACACCCTGCTTCTTCAAACCGGTTGTCGTCGGTACTGGCAGCAAGGAGTGGGCCTTGCCATCCATGAGGGGGTTCCATTCGAGCGCATCGATATCGATTATGATATTCAAGCCATTGCAGTTCGCATCCATCTTCCGACACCAATGACGGTAGTGTCGATCTCGAATTCCCAGCAACAGTGCCAAACACAAAAAAATGATTCCTTGGAGCGTCTGCCCGCGCCATTGTTGGTACTTGGCAACTTCAATGCGCACCATCCCGCCTGGTGTTCTACGGCATCGAATGCGCTTGGCCGCTACATCGCTGAAAAGACACTGACGGAGCAGCCGATAATCCTGAATGATGGATCACACACGCGGGTGGATCCAGCAAATGGTTCATTTTCTGCCATAGATCTTTCGATCTGTTCGGAGGTGCTTGGCATTTATCTGGCAAACACTTCCGGATACCCACAGCAGCGACCACTTTCCAATCACCGTATCTTCACCTGAATGCTCGCAGATCGCCACGAAGCGGAGAAGATGGCTCTACGACCAAGCAGATTGGACATCGTTCGAACAACTGACTTCCAGCAGCATCAAACTGACTTCCAGCAGCATCAAACCGGATGGTGCCCGGAAGTGAAATCGGCGATTAAGCGGCGTCGAAAACTTCTGAGAGCACTCAAGCGCAGCAGAACAGCAGGATCGGACACAGCAGATGTTTTGAAGCAGTTCCAGGAAGCGAAGGCAGCGGCTAAGAAGATAGTGAAGGAAGCTAAGGAACATTCGTGGGAGGACTTTGTTCGAAAAATATCACCTAGCAGCACAACGGCAGACATGTGGCGGACGATGAACATCCTGAGAGGCAAACGACAATACAGCAAGGCGGTTATCAAGCGACCCGATGGCTACACGGAGAAAGTGGAAGAAATAGCAGAAGAACTGGCCGAGCACTACTGTGAGAGATCAGCGACCTCAAGCTATCCCCATCTGTTTCAAACAGCGAAGGAAAGAGCGGAACGGGATCGCGTGAATTTTCTTCCGGACAACGACGAGATATATAACGCGGACTTCACCCTGGATGAGCTTCTGTGGGCACTCGACAAAGGACGTAGTGTCTCTACAGGTCTAGACTTGGTAGGGTATCCGATGATCCGACGTATGCCTGTATCCGTCAAAATCGCGCTGTTGCAGCTTCTAAACAGAGTCTGGAGTAGTGGCGTTTACCCTATCAGCTGGCGACCAACTGGTGTTCGAACGTATCGGGAACTGCAGATTGACGACTGAGTTGGAGTCGAATGGACGACTGGACAAGAAGCAGCACGCCTTCAGAGCTGGGAGAGGTCATTACCAAATCGGGACGAACACTGGTTGATTGCATCACTTGATCTATCGAAAGCGTACGACACCACTTGGCGGTCCGGTATCTTGCGCACTCTGCGTAAGTGGCAGAACATTTATCGTGGAAGAACATTTATCGGGTGAAATGCCATTGGAGAAGGGAGTCCCCCAAGGGTCAGTGTTATCCGTCACGTTA